CCTTGTGGATATCTGATTTTAATATGGCCTTCAGATTGACGTAGTTCACCAAATATCCTATTTCGGTTCCATTAAATGACATATATAGTAAAAGCTGAATCTAATTCTTACAAAAGCCCCAGGTTTATATTAAGTCAAGAAAATTAAATCGCTCTACCTAACGTGTCACATTTGCTTACTACCAAAAAAAGAAGTTCTGAGTATATACAGACTGAAGGCTAAGGCCGGTTAGTCTGACTTCAATTCTTCTTGTATCAAGTTAAATTGAATATTTTGTAGGAGTGAAATGCAGCTCTGGAAATGTCTTTTATGTGACGTACTAAAGCTCAACCACTTGTTTTTAACCCTAATTGAAGGAGGCCTCGTGGACTGCGTCAGCCTGAATGTCAGTAAAATTAAACGACTGTACATAAACATACCTTATTGCGAATCCCTTTATCAGGCAGTATCCCATTGAATTAAAGTCCCCGAAACAATGTTCCCACTTAAAGCCTCCCATTCAAGATATCCTCACGTTTAATTCTATGTATTAAGAACACAAGACAACAGGGGCAGAAGAAAATGTGCAATGTACCTCCACCGAGGAGCACTCGAAAAAACGACTAAAATTAAAAATGTGGGTTGACGAACTCATTATTGTTCGATAATTATGACGAAGTTTAGATCACACAACTTCTCATGATAAAGGAAATCTATGAGCTAATGATAAGCGAGCACTATCTACGGCTCTGTGGATTGGAGTCTTATTCCATCAGGCAAGGCATACTGGCGTGTGTGTGTGTGCTTTGCACCAAATCGATATTGGAAATAGGAGCAGTAGCCTTCAGTGGTGTAAAAAAAATATATTTATAAATGTCCATCTCCACTAATGCATGTATTTGATCCCGACTAATAACCTAATTTATGAAGACAAATCCTGTAAGAGAAACTGATGCGTTGGCCTCAAAATCACATTTAAGAAACTCACTTTCGAGCAAGTTGTGCTCATGTACCGGCTTGGGAGCAAGAATATGCATGGTTTAGCAACCTACAGTTTATTTGCAAGTACGCATTCATTATCACGAAGAGTTAAACACAATGAAATATCGGAGATTATGAAATAATCAAGTTCGTACAAGGTACTATGTAAAATGACGAACAAAACTTTAGGAAAGTTATAAATCCTAAGTGTAAGAGTATCCAGGCGAAGGAAGTCATCTAATAATGGGTCTAAGCATCTTCCAGATCATTAAGGGGCGCCACTCCGATATCATCATCTACCCCTACTTCTTGGTATTGCTGGTATTCTCCGATCAAGTCCAGCATATTTGACTCGGCCTCGGTAAATTCCATCTCATCCATTCCCTCTGAGAGATACCAATGAAGGAAGGCCTTTCGCTTGAACATGGCTGTGAACTGTTCTGATACCCGACTAAAGATCTCTTGGATAGCAGTCGTATTCCCGATGAAGGTAACCGACATCTTTAGACCACGTGGCGGGATATCGCACACGGCAGTCTTCACATTATTAGGAATCCATTCGACAAAGAAGCTAGAATTCTTATTTTGCACGGCCAACATCTGCTCGTCAACCTCTTTCATGGACATTTGACCTCGGAAAATGGCTGCTACCGTCATGTAGCGCCCTCTTCGGGGATCGCAGGCGGCCATCATATTCTTGGCATCAAACATTTGCTGGGTCAATTCTGGAACTGTCTGTACTTGGAAGTTTTGCGCCGTTCGACTGGTCAGTGGGGCGAAACCTGGCATGAAGAAATGGAGTCGAGGGAACGGCACCATGTTAACAGCCAGCTTGCGCAGATCAGCGTTTAGTTGCCCTGGGAACCGTAGGCACGTTGTCACACCGGACATTGTGGCACTGACCAGATGGTTCAAGTCACCATAGGTTGGGTTTGTAAGACGAAGAGTTCGGAAACAGATGTCATAAAGGGCCTCGTTATCAATGCAGTATGTTTCATCGGTATTCTCGAGAAGTTGGTGTACAGACAGCGTGGCGTTGTATGGCTCGACAACTGTGTCAGACACCTTAAATGTATAAAAAGATATAGGGAGAGGTAAAATTAAGCCGCCTAACAAAAAAAAGAATTATTCCAC